AGGCCTGTAATCCCAGCACTCTGGGAAGCTGAGGCAGGAGGATCTCAAGTTTGAGCTCAGCTTGGGAAATTTAACAAGACCCTATCTTAAAAAACAAAGTAGGGGCTGGGGAGTTGTCTTAGAGTTAAACAAAGGAGATGGGCTGGGTGTGATGCTGCACACCTATAGGTGATTTGGGAGGCTGAAGCTGGCAGATGGCTTGAGCCCAGGAGTTAGAGGCCAGCCTGGGCAGCACAACAAGAGCTTGTCTCAAAACGAAAGCACAAAGGAAAGTGTGGAGAGACGAGCCAGGAGGGCTGGATTCAGTCAGTGAGCCTTGAGCAGAAGTAACAGAGATGCTTGTCTTCCTGCTGAGAAACAAATAGCTTTGAGTCCCACCCATAGCTTCAGAGAGATGACTTCTGCCATGGCTGTGCGAACTTGGAAGAGGACCCTGCACTGACCGCAGCCTGAGACACTTTGGGCAGAGGACCCCTGTCTGCTCTCTCAGACCCCTGGGCCACCAAATGTGTGAGATAATAAATGGACATTTTAAGTCGCCAAGTGTGTGATGATGTTTTGGGCAGCAAAGTGTATGCCAGAGAGGACAGGCTTCAGGGGTGAAGTTGGCAAGGGTGTCAGCCAAGGGCTTTGAGGGGTCAGGGGCATGCTGACAGGAGTACGCTCAGCCCAAAGTGGGCCCCCTGAAGGCAGGTGAGCATCCTGGTTGCATCCTGTCCCTTATCTGGGACTTCAGACTGGGGACAGGCTACCAATGGGTCTCCTCCTCAGAGAATGGGATGCTGTCTACTGGGGTGGGTGGAGATATAACTATATTCTCTAAACAGGTGGTCTGAGGCCCGTGGGATGCTGCTCAATTGTCTCCAGAGGCCTCTGGCTTCTGGTCCTTGAGCTGGGTAGTCATTTTTGATATGGAGCCTAGCTATCGTGGGGCCCACTGGAGATGTGGCACAAGTAGAGGCTGCTACAGTCATTGGTGTTGTGTGCCTGGCGCCCAAGTGAGTTGGGGGCCAAAGGATGGGGATATCTGTCAATACAGAGACCTACTAAATGGTGTTATGGTGCCATACTCAGACTCCCCAAATCCTCTCAGCACCCTAGAGGATCCTGTAGGAAAGAGCCTCCTTTAGCCAGGTAACACTGGCTGAAGAGAGTGGGAGAAACTGGACTGCATCCTGGAGGATGAAATTGTTCTGGAAACAGATGGTGAGGATGGGAGCACAGCTCTATGAAGGCACTAAAAGCCACTAAATTGTGCAAATTGTGTCATAGGTGAATTATATCTCAATGAACTGTTATTAAAGACAATCTCAGTCTCTCAAGAGGCTGAGGCTGGAGGATCATAAATTTCAAGCATAGGTGGGGCGATTTTAGTGAGATTCTGTCTAAAAAAGAAAAAGGGGGCTGGGGATTTAGCTCAGCGGCATAAGTGCCTGCCTTGCAAGCAGGCAGTCGTGAGTTCGATCCCTGGTACCGATCAAAAGGAAAAAGGCAAAAAAAAAAAAAAAAGAAAGAAAAAGGCTGGGGATGTAGCTCAGCAAGGACCTTGGGTTTACTCTCCAGTACTCCAAAATAAACCAATACATAAATAAAAATTTAAAAATACAAAAATGAATTTTACTAGGCATGGCAACACACACCTATGATCCCAGCACTCAGGAGGCTGGGACAGGAGGATCTCAAGTTTGAGGCCTGCCTGAACTGCGTAGTGAGACTATCTCAAAAAAAAAAAAAAAATTAGAAAAGGGTTGCAGTTATAGCTCAGTGGTAGAGTACTGAGGTTAATCAGTATGAGGAAAAAAACAGATCAAGATTGGTAGCAGTACTGACACCTGATGGATTAGAGGAAGGACAGGGTGCCTCTGCCAGGGATTCTCTGGCAGGGATTCCTGCCAGGGTAGTGGTCCAGCAGTCAAGAAACCGGGTACTGCTAGTGGCCCTGGGAAGTCTGGGGAAGGTCCAGGGCAGCTCAATGCCCAAAGCTGGTCAGCAGGAAAGAGGGCCAGGCTGGAGCTGCTAACAGACCGATCCTCAGTGGCCTGTGAGAGTGGATGTGCAGATGGGCTGTGTCCAGCTCCCAAGACACCAACCCCACGCTAAGAGGTTGGGTGGTGACAAGAAGCCCACACAGGGGTGCTAGGCAGGAGAAGCCATCAGGAGGGGTCAAGGAGGTATGTTCAGTGCTCAGGGAAGCTCTGAGAAGCACCCACCAACCTTGGTGACCAGGCTGTCCTTATTCTGTCTTGACAGAATAGATGGGGACAGGAGTTGAGCTGGGACTGACAAGAGGACAGAGCCATTAAGTGTTTCCATGAAACTCATCTTACAACCTTAGGGACAAGGTCAGGAAGGCCAGTGGCTCTGAGAGGTGGCCACTGCCATTGTTTTCAGTTTGAGTTCCTTGTCCACACTTTTGCTGTCCTTGGCAATAGTTTTTTTTTTTTTTTTTTTTTTTATCTTTTTCATTTTTTATCGGTACCGGGGATCGAACTCACGACTGCCTGCTTGCAAGGCATATGCTTGGCAATAGTTTTTTTAAAGGACAGTTTCATCGTGTTGTCCAGGCTAGTCAAATTCCAGTGCATAAGTAGTCCTCCTGCCTCAGCCTCCTGACTAGCTGGGACTATCGGCACATGCCATCATGCCCAGCCAATTTTTTTTAATTCATGAGACATTGTTTGCAGTCACACTAAAGGCACAGACACATGCCAGTGTCCTGTGGTGCAGATACATTTTTTATTTTTTCTGCAGTACTGGGGATTGAACTAGGAGCTCCTACATGCTAGGCAAGAGCTCTATACATGAGCTACTTCCTCATTCCTTTTAATTTATTGCTCTTGGTTTTCGGTTTTGTTTTGAGACAGGATCTCACTATGTAGCCGAGGCTGGCCTTGAACTAGCTACACAGATCAGGCAGAACTCAAACTTATAATCCTTTTGCCTCAGCCTCCACAGTGCTGGGATTATAGGTATGTCATTGTACCTGGATTTTTATTTTTATTGAGATGGGGTCTCACTATGCAGTTCAGGCTGACCTTGAGCTCACTTTGTAGCCCAGGCTGGATACCTGGCTTTTTATTTTAAAAGTTATTTATTGGGGCTGGGGATTTAGCTCAGTGGCATAAGCGCCTGCCTTGCAAGCAGTCAGTCATGAGTTCGATCCCTGGTACCAGTAAAAAGGAATGACAAAAAAAAAAAAAGTTATTTATTAAATTAGGTTTAGTGATGCACACCTGTATTCCCAGCAATCAGAAGGCTGAGGCAGGGGAAATGCCACGATTCTGGGCTACACGGTGAGTTCAGAGACAATGTGACCTACACAGTGAGGCCTTGTGTCAAGAAAAAAGGAAAACAGTATTGCTTTTTCAACAGATGGTATTACTTCTGCATGATGCGCGCCCCTAGATGATGTGGGGGGGGGGGTCCCAGAAAACCCACCTCACACTGCTGGCTCTTAAGAACTGAAAATGTGTGTGCAGCAGTGTCAGTGACCACGGTAACTCAAGCAGCAGCTCTCCGTGCTGGTAAATGTCTGAAGCTAAGGGCCACCACTCTGAGCACCTCTTGTAATCATAGAAGCCAAAGGTAACTTTTATTCATCTTATGATAGCTCAATAAATTTAGTACTAAAATATTTATACAAATTTTTCTTTTCCTGAAGTATAGAGTTTTTGTTTGTTTGGACAGGGTTTCACTAAATTGCCCAGGCAGGACTTGAACCTGTAAGGCTCTTGCCTTAGCCTCTGTTATCTGGGATTATGGGCATTGGCCACAACACCTGGCTCATCACAGGGTGTGTTGGAGGTCTCTGAGCAGAATGTGGGAAGCAGAGGGTAGGCTGCTGAGGGCCCTCACTGGCTGCTGCCTAACCCACAATAGCAGCATCTAGGAGGAAGACTTGGTGAGTCTCCTTCTGGGACAGCTCACAGCTCTGAGCCACAGTGCAGCTGTGAAGGGCTGACACCAGCCTGTTGAGGCTGAGTGGATGCGCAGCAGAGCTGGGTGGCCTGCAGTCATCCAGGGCAACAACTGTCTTGGCGTCCTGTCCATATGCACACTGGCCATTGTCAGCAACATGACTGTTCCCCTTCACTGTCTTTATGCCCTCTTTTGGGTGTGGTGAACTGTAACAAGTGAACAGGGAAGATGATGGTCAGACCTATGGAGACCCAAGGTGCACAGGTTGCCACTCGCTCTTCTTGAGTGTGGATGCCTTCCCCTGGCTGTGGCACTTCCTGTGGCATGCACACTTATAGCACAGAGGGTCAGGTGGGGTTCCCTGTCCCACCCTATGGAGTCCATCTCCTCTCTCAGCCTCAGATGGAGGTGCCTCATGTCAGGTGCAGCCACTGTGTTGAGTGTCCACTGCTGAGGGCCAGCAGCGGCACTGCTTGGGAGCCACCTGTCAAATCACCAAGCCCTTTGCCTCAAGTCCATATATCCAATTCTTCTTTTTGGTTTTATTTTCAGACAAGGTCTAAATTACCTCCCAGAGTGCAGAATTACAGGAACATACCACATCTTGCCTAGCCCACTTTCTTGACTAAGGGCAGATCTGGTTGGTGAACCCCAGGAAAGCCAGTAGTTAGGGTTGGGTCATGGACTACTACAACAAATGGGGTTAGCTGCCCAAAAGATAGAGGTGTTAGTGGGGTGACTGTATTTTGCTTGGTACCACTCCTATTTCAGACTTGCCCAGGCTAATGCATGCATGTTCATAGCTGAGAGACAGTGGCAGCAGACTCGAGCCTCTCTCAGCAATGTGACCTGCTCAGTCACAGCCTACAGAGCCCATGGTGCTGCCTCACCACCAGACCTCAGCAGCCCTGCCTGAGGTTCCGGCTCCACGGCCCCACCCCTTTTTGTGACCACCTCTGCCCAGGGAACTGCCCAACCACACCTATCACTTCCCAGATACACAGCCCTGAGACTCAAGACTGTGGCTTCCTGGTGGCCACTTGTTGTCATGGATGAGCTGTAGATATACAACAGGCCTGCGGTGAGATGGAAAATAGGATTTATTGGAGGAAGCAGATAAGCTGTAGGCCAGGGGCATAAGTTATCTCTATTCAACAGGGATGACAGTTCTGTAGCCAGGTTGCTAGAAGAGGAGACCCTGCCACCACACTGCATGCTCCCTCCATTATTACAGGGTGAGGACAGGGACCTGCTGTCTGGGGGCGCAGCCTGGTTGGCATGCAGGAGGCTCTGCAGTCCCTGGCAGGTGTCTCTGTGCCCCTTGGAGGTCAGCTCAGCCAGGGGACCTTGGCAGGTTCTCTGCTAAGCTCCCAGGCGGAAGGAGGGCTGCATCTACCACTGCCTACTCTCTACTCTTGTGCGGTGGGCAAATGCAGGTGACCAGAGGGGCCCTGTGCAGCCCAAGTATCTGCCCAGTGCTGGCTGCCACTGCTGGGAGGGACACCTGCTATGGGAATTGTGCACACAGGATGGCAAATCCAACAAGAGTCTGCTCCACTGTGCTTGGGGCTGGCCACACCCTGTGGGCAACAGGCAGCCAGACCAGGAACTGCCAGCCCCACCAGTCCAGAAAAGACCTTGTGTGGCCTGTGCTGGCCTGGAAAGGATGCTCACCGGAAGGAGCAAAAGCCTCTGCCTGAGCTGGCCTAGTGGGTGGCATTTCATAGGGCCCATGGACCATACCTACTGCAAAGTCCTTGCAAAATTTGTGATCTGGTGCTTGTGGCTCTGGGTAGCAGAGTGTGGACAGGGTCTCTCTGCCCCATCCAGATGCCCCCTCCAGAGCTTTCTGTGCCCTGCGCTGCATCTCCCTGCCACCATGTGCCACCAGTTCTGGGTGCTATTTTTGCTGACACAGGGACACTGTCCAAGCACTGGGAGACCTCTGAGGAAATGGCTATCAATACTTGGGAAGAATGAAAGAACTTGTCAAGCAACTCTAGATAGGTGGAAAAATGCCTGCGTGGATGGGAAGCATCTGGATAGCAGCTGATGCCTCTCTGCGGCTCACACGGAGACATCTCACTGGGCCTCGCTCTCCGGCCTGGTCTCCTCGATGTTCCTGATGGCGAGGGGATGCATATGATTACAAAGAGTTAAACATGGTGGAAACAGATGACAGAAAAAGATAAGGACTCTTGGGATCCTTTTTCCTAGAGATAACTATCAGTCAGAGCATCTTTACACACACACACCAAGTTTTGTAAACCCAGGGCCTTGCACACCCTAGGCAAATGCTCTATCACTGAGCCCCCTCTCAGCCTGAATCCAGTTGGGCTTTTTGTTATTGTTCTTTTTTTTTTTTTTTTTTTTTAATCGGTACCGGGGATCAAACTCACAACTGCCTGCTTGCAAGGCAGGCACTTATGCCACTGAGCTAAATCCCCAGCCCCCTATTGTTCTTTTTTTGCAGTAGGGATCAAACCCAGGGCCTTTGCACTGAGCTATATTCCTGATCATTTAAGAAATTTTTATTTTTATTGAATTTTTTTAATACCAGAAATCAAACTCACGATCTTGAGATTGCTAGGCAGGCACTTGTGCTACTGTGCTATATCCCTGGCCAAAGTTTTGTTTTAAAAGCCAGGTATAATAGTGTACACTTGTAATCCCAGTATTCTCAGGAGCTAAGCCAGGAAGGCCACAAATCCAAGCTAGCCTGGGCAATTCAGCAGTTTAATGAAACCATGTCTCAAAATAAAAATAAAAGGGCTCCCTGTCTTTAAAAAAAAAAAAAAAGTGGGGCTGGGGATTTAGCTCAGTGGCATAAGTACCTGCCTTGCAAGTGTGTGATCGTGAGTTTGATCCCTGGTACCGATAAAAACGAAAAAGACAAAAAAAAAAAGTGGTGGGGAAAAAATGTGCTATTGATGTAACTAGTACTAGACTATCCAAGTGTTTGATCCAGTACTGCCAAAATAAACATTTAAAAACATATGCTTTTTTGAGGCAGGATCTTACCAAGTTGCTCACACTGGCCTCAGAATTGCAATCCTCCTGCCTCATCTTCTGGAGTAGCTGGAATCGTAGGCATGACATACCACACCTGGCTAAATTCAGGCTTTTATTGGAGATCAGTCCCAAGGGGATAGCATGCCTGGATGACTGGCAGCTGTCGCTGAAATTCTAGACTCTCAGAAGAAAAGCAGTATTCAGCAAACTTCCCAAATGAGGGAACAAGCCCCACCACTTAGGGACAGCACTGTGTCAACAGAGGGAAGTGTTTATACCAGGCTCCCTGATGCCAATGAAGTCCCTGTGTGAGCAGGCGTGTGTTGCATCAACTGGGTTTGGGATGTTAAGCCATTCTCCAGTTCCTGAGATAATCTCAGCTGGTCCTGGTGTATAAGCTTTTTTTAAAATTTGGATTCTGTTTGCTGGCCAAGGAGTTTGACTTCCATATTTCTAAGTAAACTGGTCTGTAGCTTTCTTTTCTTGTGATGCCTTTGCTTGGTTTTGGTGTCAGGGGAATACTGGCCTTACACAATGAGTTGGGAATTTCCTTCCTCTTATTGGAAAGCACCACTGTTAATTCCTTTTTGTTTGTTTTTTGAGACAGGCTATTGCTATGTAGTTCGGATTGGCCTTGGACTCACTGTATAGCCCAGGCTTGAAGTCACAGTGATCCTCCTTTTCCCTCAACTTCCCATGTGCTGAGATTACAGGCATACACCACCCAACTGCTTTTTTCGTTTTTTTGTCTTTTGAGATGGGATCTCACTACGTAGTTCAGGCTGGCCTTGAACTCACCATATAGCACAGACTGGCCTCTAACTTGCAGTGATCCTCCTGACTCAGCCTCCCTGGGATTACAGGCATGTGCCACCACATCTGGCTGATTCTAATAATCTGAGTCATGTCTCTTGCTAAATTTTTGGGTCAGTTTAGGTAAGACCTGTCAATTTTGTTGATCCTTTCAAAAACTGAATTTGGGTTTTACTATTTATTATTTTTACTCTAATATTTATTACCTTCTTTCCGCTTACTTTTGGTCTCACTTGCTCTCCTTTTTAAGTGTATCTCATGTAAACTGTTGATCTGGCCTCTTCCTCACTCCCCCTTACTACTTCTTTTGAGATACAGCCTTACTTATATAATCCAGGCAGGTCTCAAACTCATCCTCCTTCCTCAGTCTCCCTTTTTTGTTGTTCTTGTTGGTTTTTTTTAAGAGAGTCTTTCTGTGTAGTTCAAGCTTGAACTCAGTGTGTATCCTAGGCTGGCTCAAATTCATGCCAATCCTCCTGCCTCAGCCTCCCAACTGCCGGGAATATAGGCATGCACCACTGCTCATGGCTCATTTTCTCTTTTAATGTAAGTACTTATGGTTTTAAATTTTTCTCTAAGCACTTTTTTTCCCCTTTGGTGGTGGTACTAGAGATTAAACTTAAGGCCTTTACACTGAGTTACACTTCCAGCCTTTTTAGTTTTTATTTTTATTTATTTATTTTGGTACCAGGAATCAAATCAGGAGCTTGTGCTTGCCAGGCAGGCACTGTGCTGCTGAGCTATATTCCCAGCCCTTCCAGCTCTTTTAGTTAATTCATTTTTATTTTTATTATTATTTTGCAGTACTAGGAATTGAGCCTACAGCCAAGTGCTAAGCTGCATCCCAGCCCTTTTGATTTACTTATTTTTTGTTAAATTTTGAGGCATGTTCTCACAAAGTTGCTAAATTGCCCAGTGTGGGCTCAAACTCGAGCTCTTCCCACCTGTGCCTCTCAAGAGTGCTAGGGTTACAACCATGTACCACCATGCCTGGCTTCTAAGAACTGGTTTTGCTGCATCCCATAAATTTTGGTATTTTGCATATATTTTTAAAAATTTCTAATTTTGGGGGCTGGGGATTTAGCTTAGCGGCATAAGCACTTGCCTTACAAGTGTGTGGTCGTGAGTTCAATCCCTGGTACCGATAAAAAAGAAAAAGACAAAAAAAATTCTAATTTCAGGGCCGGGGATTTAGCTCAGAGGCATAAGCGCCTTGCAAGTGTGCAGTTGTGAGTTCGATTCCTGGTCCCCCCACCCCAAAAATTCTAATTTCCCATATGAAGAATTTTTGTTGTTGGTTTATTTTTTTTTTTTCTGAATGTGTTGTTTAATTTTCACATACTCATTTCCCAAATTTCTTGTTACTGATTTTTTGTGTGCCAGGAATAGAACTCCTCAGAGCCTTGAGCTTACTAGGCAAGTGTTGTGCTACTGAGCTACATCCCCAGCTTGTTACTGATTTCTAATGTTATTCCATTGTGGTCAGAAAACATACTTTGTATGATTTCAATCCTCTCAAATGTATGGAGACTTGTTCTAGGCCTAGACATGGTTTATCTTGGGGCATGTTCTATGTGTACTTGAGAAGAAATAAATTCTCCTGCTGCTGGTGGCTTCTTTCCTGCTCTCCCTTGCTCATTCACTTTAGGGGGAAAAGCTGCCACACCTGGGGACTCTGAGGAGCACTAAGAACAGTCCCATGTGTGAGGACCTGAGCCTGCAGCCCACAGCATGAATGAATGAGTCACCGCTGCTGCACTGGCCCCACTGGAGCTTTCAGACAGATGACTGTAGCCCTTGGCTTTCTTCGACCTCCTAAGAGATTCCAAGTCAGAATCACACAGTCCAACCACTCCTTACATCTCAACCCAGAAAAACTGAGACAATTACCCACAACTCTGCTGGCTTTCAGAACAAGTCTCGGTGCTCGGTTGAGCTTCAGGTAGAAGTTTTATCTTTTCTGAGGAAAAAATTGAAAACAGCAATTAAGAATTCTTTTGGTAGACAATCTTTCAATTATTTGTCAAAATGATGAAAACAAAAGCAAAAGGGGAGAATCTCAGTGTATGCGCTCTAGGCCTTTTAGAAAACATTAGGCATTGTCCCTTTGGCCACATATATGTGAATCTGTCAAAAGGGTGATATTACAGACATTGAAGAAATGAGTACTGTTGAAAATGAAAAATGAAATAGACGCAGTATACCAAACAATGAGATACAGCAAAACCAGTCCTTAGCAGCCAGGCATGGTGGCACATGCTTATAATCCTAGCACTCTTGAGAGGCACAGGCAAGAAGATCTTGAGTTTGAGCCCACACTGCTAAGGCAATTTAGCAACTCAGTAAGAACTTATATCAAAATTTAAATTAAGTAGTAAGCAACTAGGTGCTTACTACTTAGCTACAGGGCAAAAGTGAAACAGTGTACAGTGTTGGCACTGTAAACAAGCTACTTAAGGGCAAGATGCTTGCCAAGAGAATTAATGTGTGTGTGCTGAACATATTAAGGCCTCTTAAGAGCCCAGAGAGTCTCCTGAAACATGCAAAGCAAAGTGATCAGAAAAAGAAGAAAGCCATAAGAGAAAGGCTTATGGGTTCAGCTGAAGTGCTGGCCTGCCCCACCCACGTGAGCACACTGTAAGACCCCGGTGGGAAAGAGCCGGAATTCCTGGACCCATTCCCTGCAACTTCACAGCACAGACTGGGGGTGCAGCTCTGCACTTCAGTGCCTAGTGAGCAGCAAAGGTGTTCTGGGTTCAATTCATAGATCTGCTAAAAATTATATAGAGTTCTTTGAATTATGAGGGTGAAAATCACCTAAAGGTCATTTGTTTGTTTTTTGTGGGGGAGGGGCAGTTTTTGTATGTTTTTTAAAGACTGGATCACACTTAAATGGTTTAGAGTGGCCCTGAACTCACTATGTAACTCCAGCTGGCCTTAAACTCATACTGACCTTCCTAGCTGGGCCTCCTGAGTGCTGGGATTATAGGTGTGCACCCCTATGCTCAGCGTGTGTGTGTGTGTGTGTGTGTGTGTGTGTGTCCTCAGTACAAGCAAGTAAATACTTAAAGCTGGTTCTCACTGTACCTAGTTAGTTGTGTCATGTTTTTTCTCTTATGATTCGGTGTTTTTCTTGCTAAAATATGTGAAATGAATTACTGTGCAACAACTATTTACCCAATGATTAGAAAATGAGCAACTATTTATGAAGTAGTCATTCTAAGTCATCATGGAAAAAGATGAAAAGAAATGGAAGGTAATCAATGGTATTACAGTCAAGCTAGGAAGAATTCATCCTGAAAAATACATTATAGCTAGATTTTTTTTTTCTTTTTCGTTTTTATCGGTACCGGGGATGGAACTCAAGACTGCCTGCTTGCAAGGCAGACGCTTCTGCCGCTGAGCTAAATCCCCAGCCCCTATAGCTAGATTTTAAGGATCTGGAATTTTCCTTTAAAGCCCTGTACTTAGCATAAATTGTTCAAAGAACACACATACATATAGTGTGCTCTTTCTTTCTCTTTCTCTGCCAAAGCTAACTCAGCTAATGACACACCTTGTTAGAGATGACCTCAAGGCTCCTAACATAAACAGGCAGAGTAACTGACTGGGGGAATCACTGGGAATTCTAGTTTTCTAACATCCCCAAACTACCTGTACCAGGTAAAATAAGCTACTTGCTATCCTAAGAACCAGTCTTCGACCCTTGTCATAAGGAACTGGGAATCAACTCAGTGTCAAAGAAGGGACACCACCACTGTACCAAAGCTGCCTGTGACCTCACTTTTTGGTTAAGGCAGACTGAGTCTTTCTCATGAAAATTTGTTTCTAAAGGAGAAATAAAATATTTCCAGATTATTTTATATACCTTGGATTCATTTCTATTTTGCAATGCTCACAAGAACTAACAGGAGGCATACTTCCTACAAGCTGGTTTTACATTCGTTTATGTGAAAGGAATCAGCTTCAGTTCAACAAAACTAATTATTTGCAAACTTGATGTACGTGAGTGCATATGTGCACACGCATGCAAGCACAAACATCAGCATGTCCTTCTGGCATAGTCTCTCTTTTTCAGCGTATTTTCATGAGACAACAACCTAAGAAAAGTTAAGACATCTAGGGCTGGGGATTTAGCTCAGCAGGCATAAGCGCCCCAGGTCGTGAGTTTGATCCCTGATACCAAAAAAAAAGTTAAGACATCTGAGTATAAAAGCAAGGACAGGAACAGCAATTGAAATGGAAGCTGTTTTTAAGGATAGGCAAAATGTAGGTGTGGTTTCAGGTCACAGGAAGCAACTAGTGAGAAAGATAGGAATGTTCCTGAAAAGCAGAAGGGCCACATGAAGGTTCCTCAGGCACCAGGTCTGGGCTGGCAGACACCAAGACACCAATGATCTCATGTCTCCAGCCTCCGACACCCTCTCTGCCTGTGTGGTACCTGGGTTGGGGAGCCGTTCGCGTTGCCGTAGGGCCTCCAGGCCAGCCAGGTCAGGCTGGTGGCAGTGGCTGCGCATGACCATCACACGCCGGCCCTGGGTGATGGCGCGGCTGCGGCAGCCCAGCCGGGCCTGCTCCCGGCACATCCAGTACACCTTCTCTCCAGCAGCCTTCTCCTTCCGGTAGAGGAAGGACTCATACACCAGGAATTTGCCACCAAGGGATGTCCTCAGGAACTCCAGGGGCTGCTGAGGCTCTGCAGGGCAAAGTAATACAGTGAGTGGAGTACTAGAGCCCAGGTCTAGGTGTACCAGGAATGGTGGACTTTGTCCCCTCGGCCACAAGTTTCCCGCTCTGGTCCCTGCCCCTACCTTCTACTTCCTCCTTGGGGCCCTACACACAGAAGTCGCAAGCCCGCACCCAGGCACCTTCCACTGCAGATGGGCCTCCCTCAGCAAGGGCTCCAGTGTGGCCTGCTGCCACCGCAGCTCTGAGCCCTGCCCTGACCACTTGGACTCCATGCCCACCAGTGCTCACCCAGGACAGAAGCTGGGCCCCCAGAAGGCTGACCTGGTTTGTGCACCAGGGGCCTTCTGGCTCTCTGTCAACCCACCCAGAGGAGCCAGCTGGCAACCAAGCCAACTCTTGGGTTTTAAAGAAGTGGAACTAAAGCCGAGTGTGGTGGTAGCACGCCTGCAGTTCCAGCATTCTGGGAGACTGAGAGAGGAGCATCGAAAGCTGGAGTCCAGTCTAGCCAAGTGAGCAACTTAGAGAGTGTCTGTCTCAGAAAGCAAAAAATAAAAAGGGTTGGACATGTAGTTCAGTGCAAAGGCTGTAGATTACCACAAAAAAAAATTAAAAATAAAATAAGTAACTGAACTACAGGTCATGTGGTGGTGGGAATGTCATGGTAGGAGTGGGGTGACCAGAGAGAACCACATAAGAAAAGCAGGGAGCCAGGTGAGGTAAGTGCACGCCTGTAATCCCAGCACTCAGGAGGCTGAGGCAGGAGGATCACTGCGAATTTGAGGTAAGCCTAGGCTACAAAATAAACTCGAGGCCAAGATGAACTGCATAGCAAGACCCGGTCTCAACAAACAAACAAACAAAAAGCAGGGGACAGCATGGGGGCAGGGAGAGCAGACAGACAGTCCCAGTGGGGACAGAGGCTCTCCAAGGTCCAGGTCCCATTAACTGGTACTGAGAAGGGCTCCTGTAGCTGCCAATAATGCCACTCCTTACCCCTGTGCCCTTTTTCTACTGGTCTGAGCTGGTTTATTCTACCAGTGGCCACCTCGGACCAGTACCAGTGTTGCACATGACGGCTGCTGCCTTGGAGTCCACACCCAGGAGGGGATCAGGACCCAAGGCCTATGTGTCACCCATCACACCTGGGCCTTCCCACTGGGCCAGGTTGGGGAGGTGCTCCCGCTGCCGCAGGGCCTCCAGGCCCCCCAGGTCGGGCGGGTGGCAGTGCCTGCGCATGACCATCACACGCTGGCCCTGGGTGATGGCGCGGCTGCGGCAGCCCATGCGTGCCTGGTCCCGGCATGTCCAGTACACCTTGTCACTGGTAGCCTTCTCCCGCCTGTAGAGGAAGGACTCATACACCAGGAAGCTGCCCCCCAGCGGGGTTCGTATGAACTCGGGACCACCTGTAGAGACAAAGAGAGACAATCAGAGAGGAGGCCTCAGGAGGGAAGGAATAGAGGGGCACCCCTGTTCTGAAGAGATGAGAGCAGGCTCTCCCGCACTTCAAGCTTTGTATTTCTTATTCTCTATGAAAAGGCCCTGGGGCCAGGACACAGACCTCACATCCCTGCAACTTGGCTCAGGGGCTCCCTTTACTGAGGCTCAGAACTGGCCAAGCAAGGAGCCTGCAGGCAGAAGTGACCACAGTGGCTCACAGAACCCACATGAGGCAGCCCTGATGGGCAGGGGTATAGGCCGAGGGCTGAGGGAGCAGGCAGGAGGGGCACTACCCACTGGAATGTGATGAATGGAGTCTGGGAGGCTACTCCCTGCTGTCCAGAGAGGACCCTCTGTGTAGGGCGGGGGCCACACAGCAGTGACTGGAGATAAGCACTGAGATGGGAAACCCTGAAGGTAGATGTTCACAGAGCCGCCTAGAGAGGCAGGGAAGGTGAAGCAGGCAGAATCCAAGGCAGCAGCTGGGGGTGGGACCTTGCAGCACACAGGAGCACAGGGGTCAGGGGGCTGGCACACAGGGACAGCCAGCCAAGAAGTGGGGACAGCAGGCTGCGAGGAACAAGATACATGGCCATGGTGGTATGGTTCCCCACTTTCCACACTGTAGTCAAAGATCTGTAGGGGAATAAAAAAGTTGCATTGCACAAGGTCACAGATTTGGAGAGGACAGGACAGTGGCCAGAGATGCTGGAAGAATGAGTGGTGGCTCATAGACACGGCAAACTGAGAACTCAGTCAGCCTGGGCAGGAAGCAGCTGAGAGGCCAGGGCCTAGCGACAGGAGGACCCTGTGCGGACCCTACACAGGAGACTGGAGGATGAAGGGCTATGAGACAGGTGAATGCCCTGGCAAGCAAGGGGACCATGGCCAGCTTCCCTTCACTAAGAATATGCTTACCCCATCCTTCAAGCTGAGGGTGAGGAGGTAAGATCATGGGAGCGAAAGCTTAAAAACATACACGGGCCAGGCATGGTCACTGTAATCCCAGCACTAAGGAGGCTGAGACAGGAGGATTGCTCTGAGTTCAAAGCCAGGCTTGGACTATATAGCCAGACCCTGACTTAGAAAAAACCCATAACACCCCCCTGCAAAGGGATAGGGGTATAGCTCCGTGTCATAAATGCCTGCCTGGGAAGCACAAAGTCCTGAGTTTGATTGCTGGTACCAAAACACAACACAACACAACAAAATTTAAATGGGAGGAAAAGAAAACAAAGCTTAGAAAAATCTCAGATAGTACTGCAAAAATGATCAGTCATCCCAGGAGAATCAACATCAGAGTAACAGGGGTCACAGAGACAGATAAGGATGTTATGGAGTGATGCAAGGAGATGCTTTGTGCTGCTGGCTGTGATGGCACACACCTGTAATCTCAGCACTCAGGAGGTTAAGGCAGGAGGATCGCCCAAGTTTGAAGCCAGCCTGGACTACACAGAGAGTTTGAGACCATCCTCAACTACACGGCAAGACCTGGTCTAAAAAAAAGAGGATACTCTGTGCTGAAGGAACAAGCTGAGCCGTGAACCCCTACAGCCTGGCACTCCAGGGGTGCACAGGAGGAGCCACATCCAGAAGCAGCAGCAGGATCAGCTGCGCTGTCCTAGAACAGGCTGAGCCATTCCAGAAGGATGCATTACAGTCTGGACAGTCACCAAAACCCCAGACAGGGAGGGTCACAGTGGTCCCTCCCAGGTTCATGGTTCAGGAGGGACCTCCTCAACTTCAAGACACGAGAGAACCAAGAAGAAGAAAGGCAGAGAAGCAGAGTTTGGTGCAGAGCCCTTGGGGTGGTGGCTGGGCCTCACCCAGTCCAGGCCAGGCTGCAGCAGGGACCAGAAGGCTGCTACTGCAAGACCAAGAGCTGTTTTGATGTGACTGCGTGAGATGGGAGTAAACACCAACAGGTCCTCAGAAAACTGGGCAACAAAGTGGCTGCTGGACCCCAGAGAAAACTAAGAGCCAAGCAGGGAAGGAAATGGAACTTCCTTCCAAGCAGTACACTCTCAGCAAAACAGTGAGATTTCTATGACAAAGTGAAAACACAACCTGTGCAACAAGTACGAATCTCATCCTTACTTTTTCTGACTGGAATTCAACAGGCAACAAAGAAATGGAAAACTAGTTAATAGCCACAAAAACACATTTTTAAACTGGGTAAGGGACGGGGGAGACACCTGTAATCTGAGCACTCTAAGAGGCTGAGGCAGGAGAATTGCTAATTTGAGTTCAGTCTATGCAATTTAGCAAGACCTGCCTCAAAATAAAAATTGTTTCAAAACGACAGTGGATGTAGCTCTGTGTGAAGGCCCTGGGTTCAATTCCAAGTACTGTGCACCCCGGCCCCCGCAAGACAGAAAGGGAGAGTGTGATCACAAGTATCCTAAGAAACAAGAGAAACTGCTCAGAGTGGCAACTTGTGGGGTAGGAAGAAGAGAAGAGGGTAAGGCTGGGCATCTGGGTACCTCATGGTGCTGTGCAATGAAAAATGACTCAAGTGACGCCAAAAACTCAGGACAGGAAGCCTTAGGAGAGGTAAGCGCCTGTGGACACAACGAACAGCTGGCAAGGTGAGGGGCCCTGCTTCCTCTCCCCAGCCACAGGGGGGCAGGAACGTGACCCTCAGAACCGCCAGGCACATTCCTGACCTGGGGGACTGAGCTGGGCAGAGCTGAGTGGTGGCACAGGGGCAGGTGGCCATGGAGAAGGCTGGGGGAGAACCTGGCTCCAAATAAATCTGACTTCCTCCCTCAGTCCAGATGGTGAGTCTTCTGTCAGCCAGAATCAGCACCCATACCCAGTGAGGACGAGGACCCAACCTCACACACTCAGCTTCCTGGGGAAGCACGGTAAACTCTTAAAAGGACAGAAGGAAAGAAAGAAGGAACAAATCTGGGTTCCTCAGGAGATTAGGGTGCAGGCTGGTTGAGGAAGGGGTGAGGAGGGTGTGGGAAAGCAGGGTACACATGTGAGCTGAGGTGTAGAGGCCAGGTAGGAAGGTCAGAATAAGACCGTGGCTCTTTCTAGAATGTTCACAGGAGGTCAGGTGAAAGGCTGTAGGGTCTCCCCACATACCTAGGCTCTCTCGATGAGTGGGGCTCGGGTGTTTGTCCCGTTGCCGGAGGGTTTCCAGGCCCAAGAGGTCGGGTGGGTGGCAGTGGGCACGCATCACTGTCACCTGCCGGCCCTGGGTGATGGCGCGGCTGCGGCAGCCCATGCGAGCTTGGTCCCGGCACGTCCAGTACACCTTGTCCCCCGCGGCCTTCTCCCGCCTGTACAGGAAGGACTCATACACCAGGAAGCTGCCCCCCAGTGGGGTTCGTATGAACTCGGGACCACCTGTAGAGATAAAGAGAGACAATCAGAGAGGAGCAGGGCCAGATGGTGGAGATGAGGTTGAGGAGTGTGGGGTGGCTTGGCAGATAGACGTCCCACAGCCCTCAGATAGGACCTGAGGCAGAAAGCCCCCAATGACAATGGCTCACCGAGATCTGCATCCTGGTCTTCTTCAGGAGGTCCTTGTAGGGCTTGGATCTGGGCAGAGACCTTTGCTTTTTTTCTGGGCCGGGACTTGGTGACAGTAGGAGCACCTGGCCCCTGGTGACAGACTGGACTGTGTATGCCTTGGGACAACTTGTTTGCGTAGCCCCCAGGGCCAGCTGGTGTGGCTTTCTCCTGCTGCCGCCGTGCCTGCAAGCCCTCCATGTCAGGTGAGTGGCAGTGGCTACGCATCACCGTCACGCGCTGCCCCTGGGTGATGGCGCGGCTGCGGCAGCCATGCAGTGCATGGTCCCGGCATGTCCAGTAAACCTTGTCACCCACAACCTTCTCCCGCTTGTACAGGAAGGACTGGTGCACAAGGAAGCTGCCCCCGTAGCATGTCCTCAGGAACTCCAGGCCTGGAGGCAGGCCTGCAGGGAGCAATCAGGGTGGTCAGGACCCAGCAGGCAGGGCAGGAGGGCCCAGGGCAGAGTTGGAGACTGGCCGGTGCTTTTCTCCGGTGCAGCAGCCTCTGACGGAGGTGTTCTCCCGCCCCCACCCCAGCCAGGCATCTGTGCCCTGTAGGTCTGCGCCCCAGCAGACAGCCAGGGAGGACCCAACTCCCTTTCAGGGGTTAAACACCATGCATATCCAAGGTAACACTGGACGAGCTGAGCTGGCAGGAGGTTTCCAGTCACTCTTGACCATATCTTTTATACTTTGTTTAAAATTTTCATCTATTTTTTGAATAATACACACATACTGCTATAAAACTAAATGCAACTAGAGGGTCTGAAGTGAAAAAGAAAAAAAGGCTCTCCTGCCCCATCCCTTTCCCCAGCCCAGCATCGTTTCATGCTTAAATCCAGATCCCAGCTGAGTAAAGAGCAGTGTCCCATAGGTTTAAGATTAATGGGACATGTTTCAAAGTTATTGTGACCCTGAGCATACACTTAGTTTTGTTTTGAGACAGAGTTTCTCTACATAGTTCAGGCTGGCCTTAAACTCATAGCAATTTTCCTGCCTTAGCTTCCTGAGTGCTCACAGATGGTGTCATCATGCCTAGTTTGAGCATTTTTTATCCTTGAGTGCAATTTGTTTTTCTTACAAGGGATTGAACTCAGGGCCATCACATTAAGCTACATCCCCAGCCTTTTTAAAATTTATTTTTATATTTTGACATAGGGTCTTGCTAAGTCAAGATGGACTCAAACTTCCACTTATCTTGCCTGAGGCTCACAGAGTGCTGGCATTACAGGTGTGCACCACCATGCCCAGCTTCCCTGAGAACGTTTTAATACAAGACGTGGAAGCCCTCCATTTCTATTCTGGCATGAAGAAAGCCTGTGGGTTCCCACTGTCCTAGGGGGGCAGGGGTGGCATGTACTCACCCAGGCCCCGGGTACGGCGTTTCTTGAACGGCAAGCTCAGCAGGGACAGGGTCTGAGACACCTGGTTCTGCTCTGGGGCTGGATTGTTCTGTACCTGCTGGGGTGTAGGCTCTGGTTCCTTAGGGTACAGCCATGGGCTCACTTCCTTGAGCAGCTCCTCCACTGGGCCTCCAGGGTCCTCAGGATCCTGGGGATCCCTCAAGCTCTCTGGCAAGGCGGAGTCAGGCAGCTTTTGTTTTTGGCGCCGGGCCTCTAGGCCCTTTTCATCTGGTGGGTGGCAGTGGTCCCTCATCACTGTAGCCTTCGTGCCACGGGTGATGGCCCGGCCCCGGCAGCCCAGCTCAGCATGCTGGCGGCACTTCCAGTACACCTTGTCCCCCACAGCCTTCTCTTGCTTGTAAAGGAAAGACTGTAGGACAAGGAGGCGACCCCCAAATGGGGTCTTCAGGAACTCCAGGGGCTGGGAGACTGTGGGGACAAAGAGAAAGCTGGGTTAGCTGCCTGGGAGCAAAAGCCAGTGAGTGCCATGAGTCCCAGAGTGGGGCAGGTCATTGTGGGCAGGGAATCTCCTCTGATTCCTGGCTGCCAGGCAAGAAGCCCAGACTCTTGAGGCTGGTTTTATGTGGAGAGGAGATGTTTTAAGGAGCTGAAGGAATTCTGGACATCACTTCAATTCCCATGAGCTCCGAGGGGATGCAATGCCCAGCAGGGAGGTGCTACACTAGGCAGGATGACATCAGGCAAGGAACATCTTGGCCTGGGGTGAGGCCAAGATTAGAGACCATGAGCCTTCCTGCAAGAAGGGCTGGCACTTAAGAGGTCACCCTGCTAGACTAGGGGTGCACAGGCTCATGTCTCATCATGCAGATCCACCAAGGGAGTAGAGCCTGTTGTAGCTTGGCATACCTGACGCCATCTTAAGCCCTGCATTTAACTAATGCCCTGTATTCAGGAAAATAGAAAGCTACTCAGGGTATAAGTCTCATGAGAAAAGCACAATGCACTGTACTACTGGAGAAAAATTAACCTGCTCAACAAAAGCAGCAGGATACAGATGTCAACTAAAAATTAATGAAAGATTTGAGCTAAATTGTTTCCAACAGGATGTCTTTTATGATTTGTCTCTTTTAAAAACTCTGTAACTAGCCAGGTGTGGTGGCTCATGCCTATAATCCCAGCACTTGGGAGGCTGAGGCAGGAGGATGGTTGTGAGTTCAAGACTAGCCTGGGCTACAAAGTAAGCTCAAGGACAGCCTGAACTGTGAAGCGAGACACTGTCTCAAAAAGACAAAAACAAAACAAAACAAAAACCCCAAAACATAAACTCTGTAACTTTCTAGTTCAGTGCCACTTGTTTGGACCCTAACCCGGGGTGTGTGTGGGGGTCTGTATATGAGTGATCTTGAGCTCAGTTAATTAAATTCTAAATTTATCAGTTTGGCTGCTTGGATTCCTATATGGTTGTTTACAAACCCACCTCAGGGCCAAGTGGCAGCTCAGATGTCTCACCTGTCTCCAGCTTACTGCGCTTCAGCCCCGAGGACCACCGGTGTGGCTGCACTGCCTGGACCTGCCCTTCAGCTGGCAGGATCTGGAGGGTGCTGGACAGGGTGGAGGGGTCAGCCATCTCCAAGGAGATGATACAATGTACTTCTGTGGGATCAGAGCCCACCTCGTTCCCCTCCTGGTCTGCTGCTGTCAGCAGGACCAGATTGGAGAACTCCTGGGGCTCGCTGGGGTCTGCCAGGACTACATCCATGCTGGGCTCTGGGGATGGCTCTTGGGCAGCCTTCATGCTCTCGCCCTCCTGCTCACTGGGCTCAGGCAGGGGCATCCCGGGACCCTCAGTTCGCACTCAGCCCTGAGAGACGAGTTTCTCCTCCCTGGCCTGGAATTTGCCAATCTGGACTCCGTCCTAAGGGAGAAGACAAAAACCTTAGTTAGTGGAGAAGCTGTTGGGCTTGGGGCTTAGAAATGGACCTGGGTTGGAGGTGGGTCAGATGGGCCACCTCAGGATCCTTGAGGCTCAGGCTGTGAAGGAACCTGACAGAACTAGAGTTCCTGAGCTGATGTTTCTGCTCTGTTGCTCCTCTTTCAGGGCCTTGCAGACATCACCTCTCTGTCTGGGCCTCACCTTCGCCATTTATCAACTGTGCTCAGTGATGAGGGGCTGGCAGGTGACAATATACTAGCAACTGACCTTCTACCTATGGAGCCTCATCTAAACCCAACACAGAGGTGATGTCCTTATCCACTCTTTCCTTTAACTTCCAGCCCCTGGGATATGAGCAGGCCATTCATTTGGGCCCCCTTTACTGATAAGGACATGGAGATACATTCACCGTGTATATTTAAACCCCATTTTCTGTTCACACCCCTGGGGACTTGCCTGTGCTCTATACATTTCACTTGGATGCTGTGAAAAGCCAATCCTTATCCTAGTCTGGAGGCTGCAGGCCTGCCCAGCCCTTGGGAGACAACACAGCCTGGCAAAGAATGGCCGCCTGCTTGAGCTGTTGCTGGTGTGACCTCAGTCAGGCAGACAGGGCTGTGAATGGGCTGGAGGACCCCTCAAGGTCACTGGGGGCTGCCAGGCTTCCAGCCTGGAAATGGTGCCAATGCAGGTGGCTGGCTGTTGGTGGGTCTTCACACTTCTCAGTAGGCGCCCTAAACAAGACTGCAGTCCTCCTGACATTTTTGGCCTCTTTACATGGAACTGTTGCTCCCACAAGTTCTGTGGCTCTAAGTCCCATGCCCATCCCCCATGTTCCCTATCTGTGTTCCCTGACCTCACAATCTACAGTTAGCTCCCCTAAGGCCTGGTCAGCTCCAGGAATGGGGTCCCTATAGCTTTCTTGGCAGCAGCAAGGTGCTCCTCAGCAAAGAAATCTTCGGCAACTGGCAAGTGATTGAAGCTCTGGCCCAGCATCTGGACAAGCCAACCCCAGCGCCGCCAGTTCAGTGCTTTCCAGGCCCTGCCCATGTTGTCCCACAGGGCGATGAGGTGATGCTGGGAAATAGGGGCACTCAAGACAAAGGTCCCTTGAGGGCACCTCCTAGGCAGGAAAGGTTTACACTGCCAGCTCCACCCTGTGACACTGCGCCACAAACTGAGAGGCCTGGCACAAGTCCCTCTGTGGGCAGACCACTCTCTGGTTATCCACACCCTGTTCCCAGATGAGCAGGCACATCTGAGAGGTGTGGCTTTGGGGTTTCTGGACCCACCACTGCATCCTTCCATATCTCCATGCATCTCTGCTCTCTGGACCCAGAAACACCTCCACCAGTCCAGGCCAGGCTGCATCCTGAGTCGTCCTGTTCCTCAGACACTCAGCTTCCCGCAGGTCACCAGGTGCGAGGGAAGGCTGGTGTGGCTCTCTGCAGCCACCTTTGTCTCAGATCATCAGGCTTGAAGCCTGGCCTCCAACAGGCGCGGCTCTTCTCTAAATCAAGGCTGGCACAACCAAAGATGCCCACATTCACATGCAGCTGCACCAGGCCCAGCTGAAAGCAAATAGTGCCATCCTTTCAACCAAAATTTCTATTTTTAAAATTTCAAGGCAGGTGTACACCTGTAATGCTAGCACTCCAGAAAGTTGAGGCAAGAGGGCCTCAAGTTACCCAACCTGAGCAACTTAGCCACTTAGTGAGATCCTGTTTCAAAATAAAAATTTTTTAAAGAGAGGGAGGCCAGGGATTTAGCTCAGTAGCCCTAAGTGCCTGCTTGGCAAACACGAGGTCATGACTTCAAACCCTGGTACAAAAAAAAAAAAAAAAAAAAAATATATATATATATATATACACACACATATATAAATATATATATATACATATATATGTATACATATATATATATATATATACATATATATATATAAATAATAAAAAGAGGGAGCTTAGGTCAGTGTGAACCCCTTGACTTCAAGCCTCAGCACCTTCCCCTCTGCACAGATGCACACATGTGCTTACACACACACAGAGACACAGATTCTAAGATTCACATACATCAACAAATATGCAAAAGCTCCAAAAGAACAGAAGGCCTGCCAAGTGCTGACCACAGTCTCATGGGAGGCTGGGGCCCTGCTACCAACTAGATTTGGACTTGATAAACTGTTCCCACTCTCATCATTAAAGGGCTGGGTGTGATAAACTGTCTAAATGAGCACAAGTCTACCCATTTAAGTATGCAGTCACCGCTGCAGAGTCACTACTGTGACTCTGAACTGGTCTCAATAGTCTGCTGTGCCCAACAATGCAGCAGGAAGAGGCTTACAAGCCCTTACATCATGGCTGAGAAAGAAGCTTTACAAAAGGCCACACACAGGTGCTGTGGTGCTGCCAGACCCTGAGGCGATCATCTGGTACTTTGTGGCTTGGCAGCCCCATTCCAGCTATGTAGACACTTGAAGAAGCCTGGGAAACCACAATGGGACCAGCCAGGTACCCAGAGCCCACAGCAATGGCTGGCTACTGTTATTGCGCATGTGCAATGCTGGGAATGGCAACAGGACTTCATACATGCTGGGCAAGCACTCTACCTCTTAGCTATATCCCCAGCCCGTAATTGTCTGACAGTTTCATTATCTTGCCAGGTTGGCTCTGAATTTGTGATCCTTTTACCTCTGCCTCCTAGTAACTAGGATTACAAATATGTGTCACCATGTCCAGCTAATTGGTGTTTCCTAAGGCAGGAAGACTAGACGTCATTTGTTACACAGAGGTAACAAAATACATAACTGATATATTTGGTGAATGACCAAACCTAGTGGGTTGATAGAATCATACAAATGGTTGGGACTTGCTGACATAAATGTATTCCAGAATACTATATTACACAAATGCAGATGACTACATATAAAGGACTTGTAACTGGATGAGGAAAACAAAAATATTAAGTATAAGAGATATTGAGTAAGAATTAGGCATTAAAAACAATGATAGCTGAGGATATAGCTCAGTGGCACAAGTGCCTACTGGCAAGCACAAGATTGAGTTTGAGCACTGGTACCAAAAACAAAACACAACAGTAGCCAGCTATGGTACTGTATATCTTTCTAACCAGCACTCTAGGAGTCTGAGGCAGGATGATTACAAATTCAAGCTCAGCCCAAGCAATTTAGTAACTTAGCAAAATAGTTTTTCTTTCTTTCTTTCTTTATTTATTTATTTTTGTGGTACCAGGGATCGGCCTCACAATCGCATACTTGCCAGGCAGGTGCTTATGCCACTGAGTTAAATCCCCAACCCAGCAAAATAGTTTTTTAAAAGGCTAGAAGATGCCTTGTGCTCTGGGTGAATGATTGGGGGGTGACGATACCCAAGGTATGTACCATTGTTGTCCCCTGATTGACATGTTTGGGAAAAATTAAAAACTGAAAAAATTTAAAAAGGCTGGAGCTGGGTATTGTGGTGTACCCTGTAATCCCAGTACTCGGGAGAGTGAGATGGGAAGATTACAAAGTCAAGTTCAACCTTAGCTACATAATAAATTCAAGGCCACCTGTCTCAAAAAAAAGGCAGGGGGTGTAGAGATGTAGCTCTATGTGAAGACCTGGGTTCAATCCCCAACACCTGAGAAAATAACTGCAACTCAAAGCAAGCACAAAAGACAAATACTATATGAGTCCACTTATATGCGATTCTTACAGAGATAGAAAGTAACATGATTTGTGTCAGGGGCTGGAGAGAATGGGGATTTGTTCTTCAGTGGGGACAGAATTGCAGTTGGAGAAGATGAAAAAGTCCTACTAGAAATAGCAAGAGTGATGGCTGCATGACAGTGAATATATGTTGCTGTAAAAATAATCAAGATGGTCTGGCATGGTGTTATACACCTTTAATTCAGCCACTTGGGAGGCTAAAGTAGGAAGATTATAAGTTTGATACCAACCAGAGCAACTTAGCAAGATCTTGTCTCAAATTTAAAAGGTAAGCTGGGGGTTTAGCTCAGTGGTCTAAGTGCCTGCCAGGCAAGTACGAGGTTGTGAGTTCAATCCCCAGTACCGCAAAAGAATAAAAAAAAATTTTTTTTAATTAAAAGGTAAAAAGGCCAGGGGGACGTGCAGCTCAATGGCAGAGCATCTGCCTGGCATATGCAAGGCCTTGGGCTCAATTCCCAGCACTAGGGAGAAAGAAGGAAAGGGAGAGAGAGCAAAGGAACAAACACAGGGAGGGAGAAGTGAAGATAGCAAATTTCATGGTATTTTTATTTTATCACATGCACAAAAACCACCTGTAATGCCCCATTTCCCTGGCACCACTGGTGAACATATTTCTGCACCAGGGATATAGCTCAGTGGCGTAAGTGCCTGCCTGTCAAGCACAGGGTTATGAGTTTGATTCCTGGTACAAAAAAAAAAAATTACATTTTCTCTTATTCACAATTTTTCCTTTTTGGATGGCCACCTGGTAAACTCATGGTCCTCCCTACTGCCCAGGTGAGCAGAGCACACATCTCTGCCCACTCAGAGGGCCAGGCTCTGTCCAGCCCCTCATCACATCCCCTGCCCCTTGCACCCTTTGTCCACCTTCACATCCTGTCCTCGCCACTCTCCAAACCTTCCCACCGCCTCCGTTGCTTTCCTTCCAATTGGATCATTAAAGAACTTAGGTCTTCTATATCCAAATAAAACAAAACCCTAATAAAAGTCCTCCTCTTAACTGCCTAACTTTGCGGGGAAGTCCACACTTTCTCTTATGAGTGTGGTTGTGGGGTACCTCACCCCCACCCCATGGACACCATCTTCCCACAGGGCACAGAGCATACTTGGTACTTGCTTGGTCACTCAATCGATCCTGTTCTCCCTCTGGCCTTCACAGACAAGTCCTGCCTGTGAGAGAATGGGTCATAGAAGGTGGCCTATCCACACAGCAGACAAAAAGCAATGAAGTCCTAATACACGCTTAGTCAAAGAAGCCAGTTACCAAAAACAAAGTACTATAGGAATCTACTCATAAAATGTTCAGAATGGGCTGATCTACACAGACTCAAAGCAGACAAGTGCTAAACAGAAATGTTGGGGAGCAGGACTTTTTTTAAATACTTTTTTCCTTCTTTTTTCTTCTTATCGGTACCAAGGATCGAACTCACGACCACCTGCTTGCAAGGCAGGTGCTTATGCCACTGAGCTAAATCACCAGCCCCTGGGTCAGGACGTTTTAATCAGACCAATGCCATGCCTATCCTGGGCACTCATCAACTTAGTGAGAACCTGTCTCAAAATGAAAAACAAAAAGGGCTGGGGCTATAGCTGATGGAAAAGTCCTGAAGTTCAACCTCCAGCACTGCACACACGTGCACCATGGTTGCAGCATTTTGCTACCAAAGACTAATGATGTGCAAGGCACAACACTAAGTGTTGGCAGTCACTTTTTTTAGTGCATTATTTCATTTTATCTTCTAAATAGCCTCATCAATTAGGTAGGTGTTCTTCATTTTAGAGAGAAGGAATCCAAGCCAGAGCCAGGCCAGAAAGGACAGTCACTACTCAAACCTTCAGTGTCTGCCTGTGGATTAAGCTCTTTTTTTCTTTTTTATGTACAGAGCAGGTTTATTCATAATAGCCCCAAACTAAGACAGAGTGTGATAGCACACCCCTGTAATGCTAGCACTTAGAAGGCTGAGGCAGGAGGATCGTCATGAGTTCGAGGCCAGCATGGGTTACATAGCAAGTTCAAGACCAATCTGGATTACATACTGAGACCCTGTCTCAAAAAAGAAAGAAAGAATCCAAAACTAGCAACTTTTAAAAAAAGGATACATACAATAATGCAGGTGAATCTCAAAATCATGCTAAGAGAAAGAAGCTAAACACAAAAAGCCTACATAATACATGTTTCCATTTAAATAAAACCTGGGAAGGAGAAACTATAGTGACAGCAGATCAGTGGGTGGCCAGCGGCTGGCGTGAAGAGAGGCTGACTACAAAGCAGCGTGAGGGAGCTTTCTGGGATAACAGAGATGGTTGATTTGATTACAGTGGTGGCTATGCTGCTGCAAACATCTGTTAAAATCAATCAAGGTATATAGTTAAAAGTGGTGACTCTCATTACAGTGAATGGTAAAGCATATTTTTTAGAAGCACAAATAAGACTCTCCCTGGACTATCACTCCAAAAACCATTTCTTTGCAGGGGATATAGCTCAGCAGAACAGCACCTGCCTGGCAAGTGCAAGGTGTAAGCTCGATCCCAGATACAAAAAACAAAAAAATATTTTCTTTACTCTGAGAAACATCCTTTTGCATCTTCCACAGAGTTTTATCAGATAAATGCTAACTACTACTGCAAATAGAGTCTACTTCAGGTTCTTGTTTCATATTCTGTCAAAAATACGAGGGGGAAAAAAAAAGCAGTATTTTTATATTACCTTACAGTATCCCGGCCCTTGGAGATCTTTTCACCAGAACACTGTACGTTGCTGTGTGTTACTCTAGCTCCTGGTAGTGTTCCACAGTATGGGCACCCCGCAGTTGGGCCATCTCCACATCACTCAACCATGCCTGCTGTTTGCAGCATACCAAGTCCCAGGAATACAATGAAATTCAAAACTGGACTTGTTTCTCATGCTTTGAGCAAGTAGACAGGGGAGATTGTCAATAACAACATTAAGAGCCAGGTGTGGTGGCGTATCCTGGCACTTGGGAGGCTGAGGCAGAGGCATCACCTCGAGTTTGAGGCCAGCCTGAAGTACACAGTGAGATCCTATCTCAAAAAACAAACTAACTAACCCCACAATTTAAATATGAAAACCTAACTACGAAGTGAGGTTACAATGCTTTGAACCTATGTAATAGATCTATTTGATCAAGTCACAAAAATACTTTTCAAGGGAAAACAACCTAGTTATAAAAGCTGGGTCAATATGGCATAACTAGCTTTAAGGCAGGGACTTGGGGGCACTACTAATCCTAAACCTCAGCAAGAGCAAGTGGAGGAAATACCTGAAAGGTAGTGAACTAATGGGGAAATTTCCTTTTTTTAAAAAAAATCTCACTTTTTACATGTATGCCTTATTTTGTAATTAGAAAAGTTCATATTTGAAATGAGAAAAATAAGTTCATAATTATATTTGAAGTTCATAATTATATTTGAATTGTATTACATTTGAGCCTGAGGAATAAATCTTTCATGCTTCTAGAAAAAAAGGGTTCAAGAAACCATGGTTTCCTCATTATTTGCTGTGTGACCCCAGCCTGCATACACCCCCACCCATGTACTGGGGATTGAAGCCAGGGCTTTTGCATTAGGCTACATCCTTTTTTTTTTTTTTTAAAAAAAAACATTTTCTGACATGATCTAACTTGTGATCCTCCTGTCTCAGCCTCCCAGAATGCTGGGGTTCCTGGTGCACTGGCTTGGGAATTCTGTCTTGACACTGGATGAAGCATCTTCACTATGACCTGGCAAGGAGGCCTAACACTTTAATAGGTCGCCAATTTCTCTGTTTGCTGGTCTGCTTTTAACTACAGTATTTACCTTGGGCCTAGGCTCTTATTGCCACCTGGCCAATATATGCAGCAATGTTTGGAGACAATTTTGGGACAGGATCTTGCTCTGGGTAGTCTCAAACTCACAATCCTCCTGCCTCAGCCTCCTAACAGCTGGTATTACAGGTGTGTTTTTGATCATTCAGCCAAATGGAAACTATGTGCTCCAGGGGAAAACAATGTACTGTGTAGAACACAGTCTTCTAAATTATCTGATTCTATTCTTCCATTAGCTTTGAATTACTTTTACAACTGTATAAATTATAGATAAATGGAATAAAAAAATCATTCTAGTGTATACGCAAGTAAATAAATTTTCCCTTTCCATGTAAGTAAATATGAATATGCCAATAAATTCTCCTGTTGTGAAAGGAATCAGTTTTGCCTCCATCTGCACATTAATTTAAAAATTCCTGTCTTACAGTTTTCTGGAATCTTCCTTGGATTCTCTTACACAGTAGTTATAAAATCTGACTGGTTGTCTAGCAACAGGTTAAGTAAAGTCTTTAGTATATATTCACTGTATATATTTAAAGTTTTATTTCCTTGGTTTAGTCTAAGACCATGTTTTTTTCAAATCATTTCATTTACTGGTCCTAAAATCATTAGATTCTAGTCATTAATTTCAAAAATTACATAGGAATTCAACTTGCTCTGGTGTAATAAAAGCATTATTTCATAAAACTTTTATATATATACATACATTTACTCCAGATGGATTTATTTTTTGTTACTATTGTTTTTGTCTTTTGAGAGAGGGTTTCACTATGCAATTCAGGCTGGCCTTGAACTCATTTTGTAGATCAGACTAGCCTCAAACTTCCAGCAATCGTCCTGCCTCAGCCTCCTGAGTTGCTGGGGTTACAGGTGTGTGACACCATTACCGTCTCTAGACTGATTTATTAAAGTACTTTTGACTTTGCTCATCGTTTTGAGAACTAATGTGTTCATATTGTAATATCCAACTTTCACTCAAAAAGTTGAGTGAACAGAATTATTTTCAGGTCAGGTGGATGTAAATGAGGTGTTCAAGAGTCTCAAAGAATCCAGACATGGTGGTACATATCTGTAATTCCAGCAAGTACTCTGGGAAGCTGACATAGGGGAACTGTAAGTTTCAGCCCAACCTGGGTAATATAGTGACTCAGTGAGACCTTATCTCAAAAATTAGGGAAAAACAATTTTTTAAAGGGTTGGAAATGTAACAGTGCAAAGGTTCTGAGTTCAACCCTTGGTACCACACATACATGCACACATGCACACAAATGTGCACACACACACACACACACACACACACACTGCACAATTATTGTTAAAGTTAATGGTTCATCACTCTCTCATCTTCTCCCTGCTCAGTCAAGTCACAGAGTAGGATGAGTGTAGCTCTAAGACTACTGGCTTGGCACTGCTACCCTGCTGGTGGTCATACAGGGCTCAGTACACAGGGTCCAAGAGCCACACATTATTAAGAACGTCAGAAAAAAAAAAAACAAAAAGAACGTCAGGAGGCTCCTAGGTACCCCAGGTCCAAGCTCTTAACTGCTGAGGTACTGAAAGACAGGACCTTTTGCTAGTGGAGCAAAAGAATTACCTTCATTTGCATGAGAGAACTACACCATCATCAACCCACCCCAGAGCTGGGGCTTGGGCTTGCTGTGTAGGCCTTAGACAAGTCCTGCAATTCCTCTGGCTGCTTTCGCCTCTGGCTGTGAAGGAGAAAAAGTGGCAAACAAGATATCGTGAGTGAAATTCTTCTACAATCTGTGAATTAGTCAAGACCAGTAGTTCTTTGTGCAGGCTCGGTAGGATCCTGAGCACTGAAAGAAGTGGAGGGAAGGCCCTGATGTCTAAAACCCTCCTGGATAATCCCAATGTTTCCCCCACCACAAAGTTTACAAGGCACTCTGCCTGATTTTCGAGCCCTCCTACAATTACATTTAGACACTGATGCCTGCAGCAGCAGTCACCCTCCCAGCAGTTTGTCCAGAAACTGCGTGCATGTAGCATTATTCCTGGTAGACGCTGGAGGTGCTGGTGATTCCCCAAAGATTGATTGACTACTCTAAAGCAGGATTTCCCCACCTTGACATCAGCGGCATTTTGATCTCAATATTTCCTTGTTCTGTTCATTGCAGGATGTTTAGCAACATCCTGGTCTTTACCTGTACATAGCTATCAGTATCACAATCATCCTTCCCCTGCCAGCCTTCCCAAATTCTGATGACTACTATTGCTAAAAGTCCCCTGAGGGGAAAAACTGCTTGAAAGCTACTGTTCCAAAGCAACTTAGAAATGCAGAGATACAAGCTGGGTATTCCTGCACACACCTATAATCTCAACATGAAGGAGACTGAGGCAGGAGGATCGCAACAAGTTTGAGCCAGGCTGCACTACACAGTGAGTTTAAGGCCAGCCTGAATGACAAAGTGACCCTGTCTCACAAGTGAATGAATGAATGAATGAATGAATGGCAAGGAGATTCCAGTTAATGAGATCACCCCGAGCCGTTGCTTTATAGCTTGAATAGTGAACGTTCCCCAAAGACTATCATGTTGCAGGTTTAGTCTCCAGGGTGACACTGCTGGGAGGTGGTGGGACCTTTAGAAAGTAGGCCTTGAGGAAGGTCCTTAGGTTACTGGGAGTATGCTCCTGAAGGGGACAGTAGGACCCCAGTCCCTCTCATTCTTTTGCTTTCTAGCCATGAGATAAGCAGGCTGCTTCACCATGTGTTCCTCTCCACTGCCACCTGGCACTGCTCTCAAAAGCCCAAAGTAGGGTCTGCCTGATGGTGGACTGGAATCTCCAAAACCAAAATAAACCTTTCTCTAATTATCACAGGTATTTTGTTACAGTGACAGAAAGCTGACTAAAGCCTCTGCCCCATCACCCTAAATCAGAATCCTGGCTTTTACTCCCCCTTTACCTCTCCTAATATGTCCTTCCATCTTGCTCCCTTCACATCTGATCACATTCATCTTCCATCTCCTTTCCTCTCCTGTCACTTCAGAACCTCCTTCCTTACTGCTGCTTCTTCACACCACACGGGCAAACTCAGCCTCTCCAGTCTCCCCAAGGAATAACCAACAGGTTATTCTTTCTAAAGCTTAACTCTCTCCATATCTCTCCTAATAAAAATTGTCTCCCTCTGCAGAGCTTTGCACACACTCAGCTCTGTATGAGCTCTGGTCCAGCTCCAGTCTCAATTTCTTCTACAAGTGGCATGTGGAAAAGGAACAAGACCAATCTAGCAGAATCACACCAGAAAGTCAAAATCAAACTCTAGAATTGATACTGGCCTTGGAAAGCAGAAATGTAAAAATAAAAATATACCTTGCTTTGCAATTAAAGTTTACAGTGATTATCTGATTGTGTGACAGTTCAGTATCCTCCAAGGTTTCAAGCTGCTAGACCATTCGGTGCCAAAAGCAAAAGCCTTCTGGAATGGAGTGAAATGAATGAGACTAGAGCTAGAATAGATCTGCGTCATGTGCACTGCGCTGCGTGTCTTCCTTTATAAACTTGTGGATCAGTAACTATATGTACAGGCACAGGGTATGCACCTTAAACATATTTCTCAGTGTGGGTTCAGTAAAAAAGTTTGGAAAGCATAATGGACAAATCTATTGAGTCAGAACTAGAAAGAGAGGAGAAATAACCAGCAAAAAGTGCAAGGTCACCGAGACCTCCGCATGCCCAGACCGGATGGGACTGGAAGGGTGCAGGACTGATGCACTCTGAGTGGGCAGACAAGGCGGGGTGGGAGGTCGGGGGAAAAGCCCGACGAATATGGGACTCCCCTATTTGGGGGTATTATAAGGCTCATTCAGTCCAGGGGTCGGGTGGGCTGCGGCAGGCGGAGCAAGGAAAAAGGAGAGGAGCTGCAGGTGGCCGACAGGGAAGTGGTCGGAGCCCGGGGCGCATTGTCGGATTTCCCCTTCTAGCACCAACCCGGGACCCGGGAGGGCCGGGCGAGGCGCGTCCGTCCACGCAGGACCCTCCCCGCCAGCGGGGCCCCGTCCTCACCGACGGCAGCGAGCCCTCCCTCTCCGGCGACGGAGCCGCAGCGGGTGCCTCAACCCCGGCTGCAGCAGCCGCAGGCATCGACCCGGCCGTCCAGGCCGCTCCAGCCACTACGACCCCGGCGCCCGCTCCCCACCCCCACCTGCCCCTTCAAGAGCGAGCCTCGTGCCCGCGCGCGCCCCGGCGAAGAGCCGGCCTCTTGCAACGCCCCGCGGGCTCCTGGCGAGCATGCGCAGCAAGGCCGCGGAGCCTTCCTGCGAGGCGCTCCTCCTGGTTTTCCTGCGCGGCACCGAGCGGACGAACTAGACCAATCGGCGTGAGGGGCGGGTACCTCTATCACAAAAGAGGCGGAACCAATCAGAGATAGGCAGTCGCGACCAGTGGCTGGCGGTGGCTGGATTTGGTGCTGGGACCCAGGATCGGGGCGTGGTGGAGGGCGCACGGCACACAAGGAGTCGGACCAAATGGACTTGATGTCCGCCCCAGGTCCGCCCAGGGTGACTGCGCTACCGAGTGGAGCGTGGGTTTACATGTGTCCTTACTTAGGCCCCGTGAGATAGGGGGAAAATTTTTTTTATGACTCTCTTTGAACCTTTCGAATAACCCTCACTTCAAAGGCTGGGAAATTTGAGATTCAAAATAAATAATGTAACTCGTAATAACCTTAAGAATCCATGAGTAGATACTGAGATAAGTAAACCGAAAGAGGGAAAAAGTTTCTTACGCCCAAAAGCCAATTTAAAAATGCACAAAGAATAATGCAGAAAGCCAACTTGACACCCATCTTGGTAATAATGGATTTGGACAAAAGTCATCAATGGCCACATAATGAATGGAAAGTGAGAATATCTCCCTAAAGGATGTTTAATGATAGCAGAAGAGGATACTAATTTTGCAGTATAGAAATGGCCCTCAAAATGTAATCTAAGGTTCCTGGAGATCCCTAACACTCTTCTAGACAGTGCAAGGTGAAAACTATTTTCAAAATTGTTAGCCTTTCAAAATGTCATTCCTTTATAAATGTAAAATGGAATAGTCCAAAAAGGCTCCATGATGTGTAATGTAATAGGCTGCATGTAAGAGCAGATGTGAGAACTATAATTTTCTTAAACTGACATTAAAGGGACTGGGGATTTAGCTCAGCGGCATAAGCACCTGCCTTGCAAACAGGCAGTCGTGAGTTCGATCCCTGGTACCCATGAAAAGGAAAAAGACCAAAAAAAAAAAAAAAAAAAAAAAAATTGGAAGACACAAGTTAAAAAAAAAACATGGTTAAAAAACAAACAAACCTGACCTTAAGCTGCGAATGGTGGTGTAAACCTATAATCACAGCACTCTGGGAGGGTAAGGCAGGAGGATCATGCATTAAAGTCCAACCTGGGCAATTAGGCATTTAGTGAGACTCTGTCAAAAAGTAAACAAAATAAAAACACTGGGGTTGTAACTCAGTGCAAAGGTCATGGGTTTGATCCATATCAAAAACAAACAAATACTGACATTAAAGAGATCTTCAAAAACATTAAACAGTGGCACTTTTTGTTTTTTGTTTGGGAAACTACTGTAATTGTTGTTGTTGTTGTTTTTTGGTGCCAGGGATCAAACTCGACCACACGCTTGCAAGGCAGGTGCTTATGCCACTGAGTTATATCCCCAGCCTCTGTAATTTTCATAAAATATGTTGACACATACAATGTTCGTGTTACTTTTTTTTTTGTCTTTTTCTTTTTTATCGGTACTTATGCTGCTGAGCTAAATCCCCTGCCCCAAGTATTACATTTTTGATAACAGCTTTCCTGAAATACAATTGCCATATCATGTCAGGCATGGTGGTACATGTCTGTAATCTCAGTACTCAGGAGGCTGAGACAGGGATTGCCACGAGTTTGAGGTCAGCCTGGGCCACATAGGGAGAATCTGTCTCAAAAAAGAAAGCAAAAAAATAGAATTCCCGTATCGTGCAATTCATCCATTTAAAGAGCATGCAATTTAGGACTGGGGATTTAGCTCAGTGGCATAAGCGCCCGCCTTGCAAGTGCATGGTCATGAATTTGATCCCTGGTACTGGTAAAAAAAAAAAAAAAAAAAGCATGCAATTCAGTGAGTGTATTAGTTTTACCATTGCTGGATTTAATACCCAACACTCACAATGTAAAGAAGGAGAAGTTTAATTTGGCTCACAGTTTCAAGGGATTTCATCCATAGTGAGATGACTCCAAATAGGAACATGAGGAACATGGTTGCAAGGCATGGCAGAGCGAAACTGTTTAGCTCATGGCAAATGAGAAGCAGAGCAGGGGAACAGGGCCAGAAAGAAAGAGTTAGGAACCATATAGACACCAAAACCATGCCACCATAACCACCCAGACATACCCAGAAGTGTGCTCTACCCAAGCCAAGTTCAAAGCCAGGCAAGCCAATCATGGTGATGTATGCCTACACTAACTGCCACAGTGACTTTTAGTACTGTAGTCACAGAGTTGTACAAATATCACCACAGTTTCGGAGCCCTTTCATCATTCAGAAAAACCCTTTTGGCCCTCACTACCTACTGTAGTGTGGATGTGACTTATCCTCCAGTGGTTTGTGTATTGGAAGATTGGTCCCAGATATGGCAGTATTAAAAGACTGCGGAGCCTTTAAAAAGTCAGGCTTAATGCAAGTTAATTATATCACTGAGGCACTGCCTTGGGAAGAGATTAGTTCTGGCCTTTATGAGGGAAAGTCTCAGGAGTTTCCTGAAGAATGGCTTGTTAGAAAAAAAATGAACCTTGGTCTTACATAATGGCATGTTCCTGTAGTCCTAGCTATATAGGAGGCTGAGACAGGGGGATCATTTATGTCCACAAATTTGAGATCAGCCTTGGCAACATGGCAAAAAAAAAAAAAGAGCATTACTCCAGATTTTTTCACGTGAATCTTCTTTGGAGAAACATCCATTCAGAATCTAACTAGGCTGTTAATTCTGAGTGTAAGAGTTCTTTATATATTCTAAATATATGTGCCTGATTGGATGTGTGAATCTCGACCTCTCCACCTGTGGGTTATCTCTTCACATTATTGTCCCAGTTGAGATGGTGTCTTTTGCGGCATAAAAGTTCTTAATTTGGATAATGCCTAATGTATCTATTCTTTTTTTTTTTTTGCTTTAGTTTTTAATGTCATAGCTAAGAAATCACTGCCTGAACCAAGTTCACACAGATTCCTTTATGGTTTTTTCTAAGAGTCTTATAGTATATGGTATGAGGGGCATTGTTTTCATTCTTTTGCATGTGGATGGATATTCTCACCATCACCAACTGAATCTTGAAAAAAATGATTCTTTCTCCAGCTTAAATGTCTCAGCATCTTTTTTGAAAATAAATTGAACATAAATGCAAGAGTTCCTTCCTGTGTTCTCATTCTATACTTGTGATGTGTTATTATCATCTAGTGTTATGCCAATGCCCTGCTGACTTCATTATCATTGCTTTTTTCTTCTTCTTGTACCAGGAATCAAACTCAGGACCTTGTGCTTGCCAGCCAGGCAATATACTGTTGAGCTATATATATCCCCAGCCCTTTGTTCAGTTTTGAAATCAGAGTCAGTTATGGTGGTGAACCTGTAGTTTCAGCACTTGGGAGACTAAGCAGGAGGAACACTGCAAGTTCAAAGCCAGCCTGGGCTACATAGTGAGTTCAAGGACAGCCTTGACTACATAGCCAGACTCATTAAAAAAATTTTTTTTAAACAGTGAATGCAATAAATAAAGAAATAAATAAAATAAAAAATAAAACAGTGAATGTGAATCCTATACTCTTGGTCTTTTGGGGATTGTTTTACCTATTCTGGGATCCTTGAATTTTTATTGTCATCTTTCTGGTCAATTTTTTTGAGACAGGATTACTATAATTTTATATCACTGAGGTCATAAAAATAATTGTCAGGTGTCCTTGCTTTTGTCATTTAACACTATAGTATAAATGTCATCCGACATTATAAGCTTGCTTTCTGTATGATGGGCTACAAAATTTATTGGTTTCTTTTACTTATTTTTTGTACTACTGAAGAATGAACCCAGGGCCTCCCACGAAGGTACACGCACAGTTCTTTTTGTAAATTTGAGACAAGATCTAGCTAAATTGCCCAGGCCTCAGTAGTATTTGAGATCCTCCTGCCTCAGCCTCTCACAGTGCTGGGATTACAGGCATATACTACCAAATAGTAATTTTCTTTTTTTTTTTTTTTTTTTTCTTTTTCGTTTTTATCGGTACCAGGGATCGAACTCACGACTGCCTGCTTGAAAGGCAGGCGCTTATGCCGCTGAGCTAAATCCCCAGCCCCAATAGTAATTTTCTTAGATACTCTGTTTCAGAATTTCGCTATTATATTTTTTTCTGTGGTGTCTGCTTTATTCTTAACATTGGGAGAATGTAAGTGAAGGATATGTGGGAATGCTTTGTACAATTCTTGTACTGTATTTCTGTAGGTCAAAATGAGGTCATACAAACAAAACACCCAGCCTCGCCCATTTGTGCAGCCCTCGCTCATTAATCCAGCCCTCACCCACCGCGCCTGCCGTCACACTTTTGTCCACCTCCAGCAGCCCCAGTGCTGCAGGGACCAGGATGGCTCCGAGCTCTGCTTTCCTGGGACACTCGGAGCCTCCCGGGCAGTTCTCTACCCTGGCCCGCGCACGCCCATTCCCGGCGTCTTCTGCTGTCTACGCAGCCGCAGAGCCTCCAGCCGCAGCGGCCTTTGACCCGGTTCTCTGCCCCGGCCCCAACCCCTAAGGCGGCTGGCTCCCTCAGCCCCTGTGCGCCACACTAGAAGCTTCAAGGACCCAAATTAACAAATCCCTGCTGGTGGTGTTGAGCTTATGCAGGAGTTGCGGAGATTCAAGAATCATCAGAAGCAGTAAACTAAGAAAGACCCCAGATGGATGACAGCTACTGGAAAGTGGGAAGAAGGTGTTCAAACGGGACAGGGAACAAGGGAGGGGAGGAAATAGGGATTAAAAAAAGAAAGGAAAACAATATAAACAAGGTTTTCTGAAGGGAGAGGGTGGGGGAAGGAAGGGTGGTAAAAGATGTAACCAGGTACAGGTACAGATTCCTTACAATGAATGTGATCATTAGGTATGTCAAAAGAGTACCAATAAAATT